AGGAACATGGTCAGCAATGAACAGAGCATCCATGGGCAGGGCTGTAAATTCAGATTTTTCTTAGGTTTTGCTTTCCTGTGTTCCTAGGCTGAAAGTACCAGAGCTCATAGTTCCTATCAGTGGCTTTAGGATCGAGGTTTTGTGTGTTCAGCCCCGTGAGGAATGCAGCATGTGGCCCAGGCCCCAGGCTGAGAAGAGTGGTCCAATTCCATTTCATGCCTTTCCTACAGCACCAGGAGTGCTCTGTGACACAGAGATTCCTTCTTGCTCTCCCACAACCGGTGCTGGCTGTGGGACTCTCAAAGAGAGTCAAAAGGTTGCTGGAGGAGACAAATGGCAAAGAATGAGCAGAAGACAAATTGGTGACATGCTCACCCCAGCACAGGCCAAGCACAGCACTAACTGGCCATCAGAGCAGACTGCTTCCCACACAGGCTTCCTGCCAGCTTAGGGTCTGCTGTAAAATCTCTGATAAACATTTTTTGTAGTGTCCACTACTGATTATGAAAAAAGTAGATTATGATCCAAACCAAATTAAACTGTGCCACTATGGGTTGTTTTTTACTTTGTCAAACTAAACCTGAACCACTATTTTGAAGTTTTTCTTCAACATAAATCAGAACAACTTTAGTCAGAGCAGAACAATAAAATTCTCTTCTGGTTCCTTGCTGGGGAATGCATGTGAAGGACTGTACTCCTCAAACAGCACCAGCTCCCCACCATCCCAGTGCTCAAGGCTTGAATCCACAGTGGAGAAGGGGCAGGTTTATGGCAATTTCTTGACTACAGACATATGTTTCAGAAGAAAAGAGCTATTTCTATCCATTCCAAACCTCTGGCTCAAGAAAGAAGTTAGTGTATTGAAAACATCAGATAGGACTCTTGTGTGCAGCCCTACCCCAGGGTCAGGTTCTGGGAACCCTTGCTGCACAACAGGGTGTTGCTGCTCATGCCAAGTGCCACATTCTCAGGGCTGGAGATCTTTCAGCAGCACTTGACTATGAGGTGTTGGCTACTGCAGGGCTCCTACCAGCCCACGCCATCAAATTTTTTAGGAGTCATGATAGAATCTTAGAATCACAAAATGGTCTTTGGGTTCGAAGGGACCTTTAAGATCATCTCATTCCAGCCCCTGCCATGGGCAGGGATGCCATCCACTAGATTCAGGTTGCTCAGGGCTACATCCAACCTAGCTTTGAACTTCCAGGGATGGGGCATAAGCTGGTGATGAGCTGGTTTACTTTGAAAGCATGTCCCTGCATATTTTCAGCTGACCAATATTTACATGAAACACTCAAAGTCAGTTCACAACATACAATGCATGTCTGTCAGCAGGAAGCAGTTCTTAAGCAAAAAAAATCTAGCTAGCAGATAATCTCAGAATTTTTCAGAGACAAACACCTGGATGAAGTTTGCCATCTGGAGCTAAACTTGCATGCTGACATGCAGAAAAATATTATGAGAAAATTGGATAAAACTGTAACGCCACCTTCACCTAAGGAAGGTAGCTCCAAATAATTGCAGCAGCCTGTGCACCTGTAATCCCTGGCTGCTGGACCCACCAACAGCTTCTGGCAAACAGAACCAAGCCTGAGCCCCTGCATCACATGAAGTTAAGTCCTCTGCTAGTTCCTGAAATTATAGATTATTGTGTACAGTACACTAGTTCTCAATTCAAGAAAATCCAATTTAAATACATTATTCATCACCTATCACTAATCTACAGATCGCAAAATGCCATCTTTATTCCACATAATCTGAATATTTAACTGCAAAACTGGAGAAGGTGGAACCCTCACAGAAGAGCACATCATTGATAGAGATGATAGAGAGGATAAGTGAAAAGAAAATTCTTTTATGCCACTGGGCAAAGGAAGCTTCTGGTAGCACACAAAGCTGTCTTGTTCTGAAAATGTTCCAGGCTGCCAGAAGCAATTCAACAAATTAAACGTAGACAAAAAAGACTAAAATTGATGTGCTTTCCAGAAGATTTATCACTTTTAAGTAGCAGAAAATGCAGTCTTTGTCTCACAAGAGCTGAACTGTCCATCATAGCTGGTACAGAACACCCTGACCACATTCATGAATATAAACGGAGTACTCTGGGATGAAGTTCATGCTATAACTTCATTAAAACCAGGAATCCTGACCCTCAGACTGTATCTCGACAGGGAGGAGAGGGCTTGTTGGCTGGCCACACCTGCCAGTGGCACGAAATGACTCTGGTTGGTGTGGTTCAGTTCTCTCCTGGCAGAACCAAGGGAGCTCATGCACTGGGCACTGCCCTGTCCGGCTGAGCCCCGCACCTGTCAGCCACTCCTGGATTTTTCCTACCGCCAGCACCAAAATTTCCTTATTAAGTCTATTAATTCTAATGTCATCCCTACTTGACAAACTGTTTTCCCAATTTGCACCAGCCTTTCAGATTTTTGGGTATTTATCATGCCCTTAGATCTCTTTGTAGTAAACTCTTCCACTGCCTTTCTTGTTCAGTGTCTCCTCATGCTTTCTGAGTAATCTTCAGGTTTTTTCCCTTTCTCCACCCTACCCAGCACCACTGGCAAAAACCTAAACTGGAAAGCTGTTAGTGCAGCTCTGTTCTTCATGTCTTGCCCCAGCTAGGAAACCACATGCAAGATTAAAATACCTAAAGATTAATTGTTCCTTGTTGATGATGTTTTCTGGACCTCTGAATATAGTTCCTGTCCTCATCCGCCTGAAGACACAGCCCTACATTCTTTTTAAAATATCAGAGATAATACTTGTCATGGAAAAAAAGCACCATCTTTGCAGGCCTTGGATGTGTATTTGGATCTACTGGTATGTCTGTATTTCACATCTGTGTCAATGTGCTATGTGCCAAGTGTTGATAATCATTAGTTGTATACACTGCTGCTTGGCCAGCATACTCAGCCTTCAGTACACTACAAATAACACACCAAATGATGAGAGCATGTACAAAATACTCTGGTTTGCTCATGGACAATCGATGAAGCTGCTGTTAAAAAGAAGTATCATGGGCTTTACATCCTATACAGCCTGTGTAGTGCAACAAACCAGAAACACATACAAAGCCACTACTACAGGGGCTAAAGACAAGAACAAAAGCACTGGATCTTGCACTAAAACAGCGCACATGAGCTTTGACTTCAAGGCAACACTGTTCTCAAACATCCAATATTGGCTTTTTTAAAGAGCTGCAGGTAAATTCACAGCATCTCCCCGAGGCAGATAAATTCATTAATGACTGCAGCATTCATTAATGTCAGCACCACTTTCCAGCATACTCAGAAGTCAACAGGCACTACCATGGTAGTCATGATCTGTTCCCAGTTGGAACAATGCAGCTGGAAGGCAAAAATCAAAGCTGAAACACTGAAATGTGCATGGCTGAAAAATACTGTCAAGACATTCTTAACAAGAGCCATATTGAGGGGTACTGTAAGGAAAGAGCATCATCCTCTGAAGGAAAAGCTTGACCAATTATCCAAGACCATGGAAAATGTTCAAGAAATATGGAAACAGTTTTCTAAATGAAGTTTTCTATGAAGTATGTTAATAAATCTTTTGGAAAATAGGCTGTGCAGCAGATTTTCTGTTGTCTGGCATCTGCCCAAGTTTAGAGAAAACATTAATATTTTTCCAAGTGTAATTCTTATATATGTGGATGCACTTTTATTTTAGTGCCACTGATAAACATAGAATATATTTTCAAATCCATTCTTTTGTTTCTTTTTTATATATTTAATTTAAAATGCTCTTCATTTCTGACAAGAAAATCTGCAAAATTTAAAGAGGGTTTGAGATACTTTTCTCTTGTCATCCTCAGTAGTCTTTCATATTCCACTCTACCTTCAGCTGCATTTGGGCAGTTCTTCAGCAGGGAACAGACCAAAACAAACACCTGAGGAAGGAATCTGACCAAAACAAACACCTGAGGAGGAAATCCCTCATTATGTGGTCCAAAGAGTCAAATTTTCTCAAATGGATTTTTGTTTTAGTGGTGTTGATTGTTATTGGGGTTTTTGTGTTTTGTTTGGGGTTTTGTTTTTTTTTTTTTTGACTAAAAGAAGTGCTTCCCCTGAACACATACAAGTTCTCAGGAACAGAACCCTTACCGAATTTCTAGATGGATAAGGCTTAGTATGTGAAAGACATAAACAAGAAGCCTATCAACATTATTTTTAACATTAATATTACTTTAATTACTTTAAATATTAAAACTCAAGTTTGGTGTGGAATGTGTATCGGAAATCATCAAATAAAATCAGAGTCAGTCACATTGAACTGATAGGCATATTTTCCTATACAACATTAAGTTTTAAATTAAGCTGGAGAGGGAAGTTTTTTAAAGATAAAAAAAACCCATCGTTGCTGTTTGATGGAAGGGATTGATCTGCCCAAGGATCAGGGTCCAAACAGTCACAGCCAAACTGGAGCACCAGGGTCACCTGATTTGTACAGTACTGAGATAGTCAAGGTCTGTAAATTGTTACCACTTCACATGCTTTAACTGGAGGTACTGCACTGAGAAGAAATTGGGATTTTTTTTCCTGCATTCTTTGTTGTTTGGGAGAGAAAAAAATTACACTTAAAAATAGATGGAAATTCCTCAAAACCTGAGGTGAAGCAGAATGTCCAGAATACAACTGTGAAATGCCTAGTTCAGTGTGACCAGTTCTTCTGTTTTAACTGAGCTATGAACAATCTGAAATAAACTGTTTCCTAACCACACAGGAGAACAAATGTGAAAGTACACTTTCAAGTAGATGATAATACCTAATGCTTCATCATCAGAAAGCTACTGGCTTTTAAATATGTAGAAAGCTACTCCAAACAACATTCTGACTAAGAGATGATCAAGGCAAAAACCAATAGAACTTTGAGTCAGTCTCCAATTTACCTTGCTATTTGTCAAGCTCATTATTTAAACACAAGATTGCTTTCTTAATTTAATAATAACCATACTTACACAAAGACTTAAGGCATAATCCAGCTAATTGAAGTTTTCAGTAAAATGTTTCTGTTGCTTTTTATTAGTAATAACTGGTTCAGGTTACTGCTGGCCAAAGTAAGGGTCCATTAAAGAGAAGACTGAAAAGCAGATTGCTTTAGTACTATCTTCCATTAGGGCAATTTGTAAATTAAACATTGTGTTGGCCATTGGACCCAGGGAGCCTTCCAAGAAACTTCATTAATCATCCTATCAGACAAGGTTCAAAGCTTTAAGCAGAAGCTGGTAAAACTCTGAAGCCAGAGTGTGGTTTTAGAGAAAGCAGCTCAATTCTAGAGAAAGAATGCTACCATTGTCCACGAAAGCTTTCATCCAAAAAGCACAGGGCAAAATTTTGGAAGATCTAGCCAAAAAGACAATGGCTGATATTTAACTGACATTCTTGAAAAGAGAGCCCTTCAAGTCCAATTCAACATGCCAAGTGGAGAATCTCAATTCAACAGCAACGCCTCTGAATGCATCACTGCAACAATACTTTTGTGAACTACATTTTGGGCTCCCAAATACTCGAGAGAATTTCTTCCTTGCAATCTGGAATCATATCCAAGGATCCTATAATACTTCAATTTTCTATTTCAGTTTTTGTGTGAAGTGTTTGAGGCTTTCTGGAATTGCAACATAAGTGCAGAACAGACTCCTCTGATAAAGCCAAATGTACTTAGATGGAACAAGTAATACACAAATCCCATCATCTTTCTATGTACAAAAGCTGATGCATAAAAGACTCAATCATGTTATACAGGAAAACAAACAATTTCAGGAATATGAAGTAAGACCAGCTGCACTCCAAAATCTTTAAATTCACAAATTCCTTCACAATGTAGCAAGAAAGACAAAATAATAAGTGAGCTCCCAGGTTCATTCCAGAACCTGACAGATGATGCTTTGGCTATTCTTGGGACAAAGACAAAACATGACTTAGGCAGTTGGTAAGTTACTGAGCAGCAAGTAGCTTTTAAATCACACCTGTCTCTAGCACCATATGTGCTCCGTTGGGAATGAAAAATCAGACTATTTTCTTCAGAATCAGAAATCACAATTATATTCCTTGAATGAAGAACAAATAGAAGCTCAAAGCCCCAAACATAAGAACATTTGCGCTTTAACATTTTCCCAATGAAAATGCTGCCTGTTAAGCTTAGTATAGTGCTACTACCTAATTGTTTTTTCACCTATTTGGCTTATATTTTATTTCTAAACATTCCTATTATGCATTTGCTTCCAGGCATTATTCTGTGACCAGCCCTGTTTATTATCAGAGCCCTTAGAGTTCATATGAATGCCTAGAAAGCTTCCCAGAGCTCTACTCACCCTGCCTTTTAAACTAGACTGGTAGCTCAGGTTCCTAGAAGTAAAAACAAAGACAAAAATTTAAGAGATGCATTTAATGCATCATGGTAGCATAAAGCCTTTAGGAGCAATGGTAATTTAACCATTATCTGCATTTCCTGAATGTCAGTTTATAATAATGCATTCCCTTTTATCAATGGCTTTGACAAGTCAGGAGAAGTAAAGTAAATGGTGACAATAGGGAAAGTGCCCAAAAAAGAAACCAAAAAACAAACAACCAGACCATATTTCTCTCAAGTAAGCATTGTAGCAGACTTGTTCAATGCTTTTCCTCCATGTTACCCTACATCATGGTGAAGCAGTGAAACAGCCATACAAGCACAGAGTAAATAAGGACTCTTGATGCCACCCTGCTCTAATGCAAAGGGAACAAATGGTCAAAGGCATTCACTAACAGCGATCATTGAAACCCACACATCAGAACTCCTGGAGAGCACCATATTTCAGAAAGGTGTTTTAAGTATATAGCTGTACCAAAGCTGGAGACAGAACATTCCTTGTTGGATTTGATGATCAGACTCCTAGTGAGGTTCCTCAATGAAAGCAAACCCTACTAAACCAGTCCTAAATACATACTGGTTTTATGTATGTTTGTGAGGGAAAGTTAAGGAGTTCTTATCACATCACTTATTCCAACTGGTTTTGTTCTGCATTTAGGCATTTGCTTTCAAGGTCATCCTTATTCTGAGCAGTTGGTTCCTCACTGTGGGCCACAGAGATTTCTGACTGGTCTGTCTTTGTGCTGGTATCAGCCAGCTCCTCTTCAGCTGAGGCGGAGCCGTGCAGCTCCTTCACGTGGAGGGTGGGGTTGGTCATTTGCTCTGTGTCTTGCTGAGAGGCTGGCACACTGCTGTCTTTGGGAAGCTGAGGGCAGTTCACAGGAGCTATCACCACAGGAGGCTGAGGTAGGTCTTTCTGTAAATGGAAGACCACAGTCAAAATGATGGAAAACAAGAACTATTGTGTCCAGTTATCCAAGGTAATGGTCATACAAGAGGAACATTAAAGGTCCATCAACGCTGTTATCATTCTCCAGCAGTGGACAGATGCATACAGTTATCCTTTCTTTGTGTTTTATAGGACACCAGGAGAATTTTTCCTTCCAGAAAAGTATTTGCTTTCTGAGTGATTGCTCCTTACCAGTTTCAGATGTGCTCTGCTGATAAGGCAGCAACAGGCACTTGGTCCTTGGCCACTATCCAGTTCTGCCCACCTTTACTATCACTGTACAAGAACTGACAACTTTTACATAACATTTCAGATGATCTCTAACAATTAAATTAATTTCTCTAGCCGAAGCTTGTGAAAGTTATCACAAATAGTTGAATAATAAAATAAAACTCACTGGGGGAACCTCCAGCTTCATAAATTTGGCCTTCTAGTAAGTATTCAAAAACTAAAATAATGCATGATAGAAATTATTCCTTCTTGAATCAAGTTAATTTCACTTAGAGCACAGTGAAACAAAGGGATAATTTACAATACTGAACTACATTTCCACCTTCATAAACAATATGCTATGAAAAAATAGAAGAAAGCATTTTAAGGGTATATTTAATATAGTACTAAACCCCACATTTTATATAATATTATAACCTTTTACTACTACTGATACTTTCAAGAGAGATCAAACAAGTAACATTTTGGCAGAATCAAGGATGGACAAGGTCTACTTTACTTTTCACTACTCTGATTTAAGTGGCCATAAACATTGCAAAAAACAGAAAACCTTACTGAGGCAAAAAAATTATTTAAAAAAGCAAACAATCAAGCAAAAAATCTTTGTGTTTGTGTGATAATACTGCAATATTTTACTCAACTTTAATTCTAGTTAGGTTTTTATAATATTAGTATTTCCTGAAGACACTCATATCAAACTGGTATTCACCGCAAAGCCGCTGCCCGTCCAGAACATGGCAAGCTCCCTTCTCCAAAGGGCCACCACCAAGCTGGTGAGGAGAGTACAGGGCACCAGGTAGAGGAGAGCAGGCTGGCCCATCTGCATCAGTGCCAAGGCAACAAAGGTCACAAGAAGGCCTATGCCATATGCTGGAAGAAAACAAACCCAGCAAAACACAGTCATTCAGATATAGCTTTGCTCAAGCACAACTAAATAATTGGCTAAAGGAGCATTCTCACTGGATTATTTTTTTAAGCAATATGTACAACATCTCCAGAAGTTTTCAGGCCTCTTTAGCATTATTTACACCATGTAAACATGGACAACTACAGTTTTTCTATTGATAACATGTGAAAGTAGTGTGATTGGCCTAGTCCATACTGTATATGAAATATTGTGCATCATATTATACTTATGAACTCAGCAGATACAGACAAATATTCTGACCATTATGTGCTTCTTGTTTGGGTTGGCTTTAGCTGTTTCTTCCTATCCTGCCACACAGCTAAAAAAAAAGCCAGCCTGCTCTAGGTTATATGTTTTTATTACTTTCTATTTAATTTCTGCATAAATGTGGCAAAATTTATTTAGTAGAAGAGAAGTAGGTTGGATCTCATAATGTAATTATTTTCAATTACATTTTCAAGACAATGAAGTTAATCCAACTTTTTCTTCAGATCCAGATTTTTCTTCAGAAAGTCAAGAAAGACATTGAGGGGCTGTCCAGAGAAGAGAACAGAGTTGGGGAACGGTCTGAGAGAAGCAGCTGAGGGAGCTGGGAAAGGAGCTCAGCCTGGAGAAAAGGAGGCTCAGGGGGACCTCCTCACTCTCCACAACTCCCTGACAGGAGGGTGCAGCCAGGTGGGCTCCCAGGGAACAAGGGACAGGAGAAGACGAAATGGCCTCAAGTTCTGCCAAGGGAGGTTTAGGATATTAGGGAGAGCTTCCTCTCCAAAAAGGTTTTCCAGTCCTGGCACAGCTGCCCAGAGCAGTGATGGAGTACCTATCTCTGCAGGGATTTAAAAGATGTATGGATTTTGCATCTGGGGATATGGTTAGAGGTGGGCTTGGCAGTCCTGGGGGCCTGGCTGGACTTGATGATCTCAGAGGGCTGTGATTAGAATAATCAATAACTTTTTACAGCTCTTGAAAATGCTTTTTGGGCAGGGGCATATTCTGTTATTATTGAGAGTTCCGTATATATAATTATTTCTTATTGTTTCTTATAACGATTTAAGTCCATTGCCTCACACTGTAGGAAAAGCCTCTCTGTCCTCTCTGCAGTCTCCTATTAGGCAGCTGTGGGAAGCAACAGAATCTCCTTTTTGCCTTCTCTTCTTTTTACACCCGTGTGCTCCAGTCTTCATCCATCCTGACGGTCTCCACTGGATTTACTCCAGCATGTCAATGTCTGTCTGGCACCAGGGATCCTGCTTAACTCAGTCTTAAGTGACAAATTTTGAGGAATAATCACTCCTCTCATAACTGCTGACTACATCTTGCTAACTCAGCCCTGTATGTGGCTCATTCTCAGTGCTGCAATAGCACACTGCTGCCTCTTTATCAATACAACATTTTCTGATTTCTGCAAACATATTTTTAAAGTACCAGATAAGACAACAATTTTGTTTTACTATATATGAGACAGTGATTTGGAACATCAATAAAAGCATCTCTCTACCCCTGCTAGAAGTGTCCATGAACCTGGATATTTTTCCAAAAGAATTTCTAAAGAAGTTGTTAATGACAATTTCTCATGAAATTCACTGCAAGCATTAGAAGTCTTTGCTAGCAGAAGTACATTGTAAGAAAGACAACAGGAATCTGTCAGATCCTATTCATCAGTAGTATTTATGTTCATGGCACATAATTCCTTGGATTTTACAACTAAAGAAAACTTATCTAGAGGTGTTATAGTCAGCATACTAAAATTCCCTAAATCATAGGTTATGGATTTTAAGAATACACAAGAAATTAAGAACAAAGTCAAAGGATGATATCCCTGAACCTGAATTCTCATGCACAATAAACTCAAAGATTCATGAATCAAGAAACCTCGATGAGTAGCTGAGCATATGTAAAAACAGTGTAATTACAAGGGGTAGATTGAGACCCTTGGCAGCCATGGTAACAAGAGCTCCCCTTACGTAAGGCAGGCAAAACAGCTCAGAAAAGCAACATCAGCTAGTTTGGTGATGGAAGACCTAGCCTTGAAAGCACTTTGCTAAATGTTTCTGTTTAATAATAAAAGGAGGAACAGGATAAAAGCCCCAAATATGCCATGCAAGACTGATGACATGCTTTTAGAGGGAGCCACTCCTGTAGGTCTTGTGTTCAGGTGGCACTGTGGTACATACCTATTGTGCAGGCTACAAAATAGACTCTGGATGACTGCACCTGAATATCAAATCTATGGCAATAGGCTACCAGTAAGCCTAGGAAAAGAAAGAACAGTTACAATATGCTTTCAACCTAGTCACACACTTCATGATAAAAATAAAACCATCAAACCAGCTAAGAACTTGCAAGAACATTTTTTTCCCAAAAAACTTCCTTGGCACCCTGTGTATAAGCACCATGACAATATATCCAGGAGGCTGCACAATTTACAAACCAGTTATCTGATGGTACAAGCCCCATGTATTGGAAGCAGTCCAAAAGTAAAATACACAGCTACAAACATGCAGATCATAGATAAAAATGTAATCTCATCCCTACTAAACATTTGCAAAAATACAGTGTTCACGACAAGAGCAAGAGTAAGTTCAGCCCTTCGAGCTGGTACTGAAGACAGTAGAATTTTATGGTTAATGACTATGCCTGCTTCAGGTTGGGGGGAGGACGGGAGACTAATGGGCATGACAGAGTTCATATTTCCCAAAATACAAGAATGTAAACAAATTATTTTGCAGAAGAAATCTGAAAGCCAGAAGGTGCATAATTCTTTCATCTGCAGTGATGCCAGGTATAGTTCTACATACAATCTAAAATCAAATTTGAGATAAAGTGTGGCAGAAATACTGGGTGTAGTGTGACTAACAGTTAGGAAGTTTTGAGTGGTCAGGCATCCGTACTTAATCCGTGTGCAAATGGACAAATAATTTCCTCTATCACCACACTATCAAAGATGCTTTATAGTATAGAATCAGTTGCTAAATCTATTCCTTCAATTTCTCTACATTTCTTGACATCACTGCATGTGAAAGTGAACCACGAGATTAATGTGCATTTTTCTTGTTGAAAAAGTGAACAGTACACAAAAAAACCCTATACTTGAAAACTTATCAGGTTTACAGTAGTAAAATCAAACCTACCACTTGAAGCAGGAGTACAAGAAGAATAAACTAATATGACAATGCAACATGTAAAATTCTTAACATGCTAAACAATACCTGGAACTAAAATGTCTCCAAATCCTAGGAGAGAAAAAGGCCTGTCACATAGAGCCAATGGTGAGGAATTCAGTCGTGGAACCTTCAGGACCATTGGGAGCTTGGAATGAGAGAGACACATGTCTGATGAAAAGCACAGTGACACTACCTACCAGAACTTGTTTCTGTTGTACTCAAAGTGCAAGTTTCAAATACATCAAATGGATCTTTTTATACATTCATTACATACAATATTACTGACAACTAACAAAATACATTTAAGATGGGAGCAATGAAATACTTTCTAAATACTAGGTTAACTTCAAAGTTTTCATATACAATTGGGTATCAACTCTGCTTTAGCTGCAGGTATGTGCAAAATTTAGGTAAGTTGCTACATGCATAGGAAATAATAATTTATATAGTTCATTCACCTGGGTGCAATAAAAGTCTCAGAAGACCAAGGCATGAATAATTTTAAAAAGTCATTTTTCAAATCACTTTAAAGACTCTTCCCTGTGTACCTATTTATTACATAAATTTCAATGTGAGGCACAGTATGCCATGGTCCATTGCAAACCTGTATTTTCTTTATTACAGTACATTAAAGAAACTTTTTTTTTTTCTTATATTAGTGCCAAAATAATTTTATATACTTATACTTTCATGACATAATGTTGGATCCAAAGGGGTACTAAAGGGGTACAGGAGAGAAGAACAAAAGAAGTCAAAGAAATTAGTATGGACTGTATGGATTGATCCACATCCTGCAAACAACTATTTTCCTTGCTACTTTCCCACATGACACTATTACATTCATTGCTGAAATAGATCAAATTAATCCTTAAAATAACATAACTAGGTTTTCCTACTGATTAGTTTTTTTGTTTTGTTCACTAAATCTCACTATCTCCTATATCTCACATACTTTCCTCCCTGAGTCAGCCACATCTTGTAAGGTGTTCATGCAATTGGCTGCTGTCCAACGGTGAAAACCCACTGAACACTGACTTCTGTTTTCTTCTGTCTCCAATCTGTGTTTCTCTCTTTTACCTACAGCCTCAGCTTTTCATAAAGCAAATGTCAAAAAAGGGAAGGAGGGGGAAGAGACAGACTGATTATATGTTTTATCTCTTTAGGAAAAGATGCTCATGCTTAATTAGCAACAAGTTAATATTTACAGATGTGGTCATGTTTGTGTGAAGCTGAGCTAACCAGCTTTCTTATATTGAAACCCTGTCAAAAAAAGATAAAGGAAAACCAAAGCTGGTGTGATGAGCCACTACAAGTCTGCTTTGCCCCTCCAGAATAAACATTCAGGAGCACTTATTCCCATAATAAGTTCTTTTCAGACTGACATCTTCATTTCAGCTTTGTGGTCTTGAATTTTAGAGAAGTTAAAAGGGTAATAGCTGAAAGCTAGTGCCAGATTTTCAGACAACATGCAGTACCTTTTCATGAGTGGCAGAATCAGATGGGCCTGCAGCGACCTCCACCATTATACTCTCCCCAGTCTAAAGAAAAAATGGGAAAATTGTAAATGAGCACTTCACTCAGCAGCTCTGGGATCATTTAGGAACACACAGACAAACAAGTCATTACACTTTGCTCTGTGGGCAGCAGGCAATAGAGAAGCACCTTACTTACCTTTGTTAGAAAAGGTGTGATAAATACAAAGAATACATCATACACAAAAAGAACCAGGAGGAGTAAGGTACAACCCTGAAGGAAGAGACAAGATATTTGGTATTTACATACAATGCATTGGCAAACAGCAAAGAATTAATAATTAGAAGGCTATTAAAAGAAAAAGCTTGCAAAGACTAAAACAAGTCAGTAATGTATTTTTCTTAATTCCTAAATATTTTAGATAAAGGAATAGAGTCTTGCATGCACCATATATAATAAACCACAAAATTACATGTTATTGCCCAAAATTCTTTATCATGTAAAATCTGAAAATGGTGCCACTGCAGTTTGCTGGGAAATATGAAGCAGCTCTGCACTGGAAGATGCCAGGCATAGCTTGAAACACTATATACCATTTACTGTCAGTCTGTACAAACTTATAGGTGAAGATAATTTGAAACAAGAGTTTGAAGAGCTGCTTAAGGGGCAAATAAATGACTAATATTAATTTTTGTCTTAGGATACTGACTAAGGTCAGAAAGATTTGGAAAAAAACCCACTAGATTGATGCATTAGTTGTATGTCAATTTGAAAAACAAAATCAAAACAATCAAACCAGAACAAACACACCCCCCCCCCAACAAAATACCCAAATACCAAATACATAAATAAAGAGGTGGTGTGTGATTTACTTGTCAACACTCAACAGAATCTACAGAACAATCATATGCCACTTCTGGGTCTTCATTATACTCATTGCATCCCTTTTTTCCATGATGACATATGAATGGAGTTGCATTTCCAAGACAATATACTCCATTTTAAGTGACTCCTCTTCAAACATATACATGCAAACTTCTCTTTAACTTTCTTCTGAAAGTCTATAACTTCTGTTTAACTTTCATACCTTAAATGTAGGCAGGCGAATTGTTTTCAACATGTAAAGACAGAAAGCAATTCCTAAAGCATCTTGCAGAACCCAGGCCCACCTTAAAGAGAGAAAAGTAACATTTTTGCAGGAAACAGCAGGAAAAACAGACCAAGCCTTGTCCTCACTAAGGGACAAGAGACAAAGAAAAAACCCTTTTATTCAAAGTACTTGCTTGAAATTGACATCGTTGTCAGCATGAGTTTCCAAATGGGAAGTTGTTTTTCATCAACCTGATAACCTTCCACAAAGAAATGCCTGGGAGATGAGGGAAGACCTGTGTGATTGTCTATCTAGACTTCAGTAAGGCTTTCCACTGACAATCTTCCATAAAATCCTCACAGAGAAACTGAGGAAGTACTAGCTGAATGAGCAGTGAGGTGGACTGAAAACTGGCTGAATGAGGTCAGGGGATACCAAAATGGGAAGTGCTGGGGTCCTTTGTCCTGTATCTTGGTGTGCACCCTTGTGTGCTGAGGCAAATTTACAGCTGGGCCTGGTTTTCAATTGTGTTTTGCAAGTTGAGTATAGAAGTGCTCTTTGCTTTACTCTCAACTGCTAGGGTTAAAGACAAGCAGGATCTGACAAAAACAACACTAAGGTTTCCCAAAAATTCCTATGGTCTAGGTACAATGACAGACGGTGCTGTTGGATCAATACATGTGTACTTGCTGATGGAGCTCTTGCAGGAAACACTCAGGCCCACTTCAGCTCTGATGCAGAAAATGGATTTCCTAGTCCTAAATATTTTGGAACATTTCTATAGTACTGCTGTACTCCTCAGTCTGACACTTATCTGTCTAAAGGGTCTTTCAGAGTTGATAATTCCTGGATTTGAGTTCTGTCATTGATTGGTCCACACAGAACACAGATCCCACGTAAGCACTGACATGCATTCAAAGCACAAGTCAGACATCTTTGATATCATCAACAGAAACACAGCCAGCATTTCAGTTCCAATACTGAACCCCCAAGAGATGAACCAAGAAGATGAACACAACCTGTATATATGGGAAAACTGGAATATCTGGGAGTGAGGTAAGAGGTAAAAAATCCCAAACACAAACAAAAACACAACACTGTAAAAGATCCACCTCTAACAAAAGTGGTAAGAACCTGCTACAATTAGGTACTACAGCAACACTGGTTGTAGAGAATTACTGACTTGTACAAGAAAGCTGAGAGAAACTAAAGATCCGACAATCTTACCAGTTCTTATTCTCATTAAGAAATAAGTTAGACAACTTGTGTCCAACTTTCCATACCACTTCTGAAAAGCTGTCTTAAGTCAAAGATCAGAATATTGACTGAGACTAAGAGAAATTCAAGCTTAACAAGAGACAGTTTTCTGTAATTTAAATGAACAAGAAAAAAATGAAGTACATAAGGAACAACTAAGAATTTCTGCATGTCTTTATTTTTTTTTCCTGTCATTCCTAATTTCTGGATATATGTAGACTTCTGTGGACGTCAGTTATTTATACTATAAAGTGTATTACAATTTTTAGCACAGAAAAAATTTTAGCACAGATCACTTACTGATCTTCATTTCTGAAGATTCCCCAGACTACGCTGACAGAGATACAAAATACTGCCAAGAGCAACATCCGGACCTGGGGACGCTTGTGAAAATATGGCAAGTTGTTGTCTGGGATTCTGAAAAAGAATCACACCAAAGCTACAATTGTTAATGTATATAGCCTCTTCCTTTATCAACACTTTGAAGCATGAAACCACCTTTTAAACCCCACACCTACCCAACAGTATAAAAATCTAAGTTTCCCTATTAAAAGTTTGAAATTTGCCACATACCTACACTTTCCAAAGGGGAATCTTCTTACAAAGGGAGACAGACAGCTGTAAAGACCAATCGAGGCAGCCAGGCAGAATATTCCTATTATAACATAGACTGAGGGGAAAAAAGTATTAAGTCCAAGTAGGATAAGGCAAGAAATGCTTTTTTCATATCCTGACTCAATAAAGAACAGTCAGTCAGTAAGACTAAATGAGAAATAAGGCTTGCATTTCAACAGTGAAAGATAAATACAGAGACTTCAAATGATTGATTAGATTTGTGCTCTTTAAGTATCTAATTCTAGCTCCTTTTACTCAGGTGCATTTTATGCAATATCTACTTAAAGTAAAAAACCTCTATCCTAATCTTCTCTAAGTAAGTCATAAGCCTCAAAGGCAACCTATGGTGTAGCATTTATCTTCTCTTTATGAGTACACAGGAGCATTATAAGGAACTATTAAAGTCACTAAGTAGCAAAATGAATCAATACAGATGGGATGCATGTTTCACTACTTCCTCAAAAATATGAAGAAGCATTAGGCTCTCATGTTTTGTCAATCTGATAAGTGATCAGTAGAAAATGATAATCTTTATAAAGATAAAAAAATGATCCTTGTCTTGACTTCAAACTGAACAATAATAGAGAGAAAGAATAGGTCTGAGAACACCTTTAACAAAAATAAAAGGTGGAAAATACTAAGTCTCTATCTACTTAATAGTCTTTAACATTTGAAAGAAGCTTTATGATCGACCTCACAAAAAGAAGGATTAGAAATCTACTCAGTAAGTTTTCTTACAGTATTTTAAATCATATTGGGATGAAGACACATGACAGAAGAGAGATGTTTCATTATTATTTTCACAATAAAGTGTACATTGAACGATGTCAGCCTTGTGATATTGAAGATGTATCAATACAAATACAACCTTAAGAGTACCTAAGTGGTCATAGAAGAAATAAAGGAGGACGAGCATTGAGCAGCACATCACTACAAACACACAGATCATTATGGGAGTCACATCCACTGTTTCATCATCATGTTTCTCTGCCCCATCATCGCGCTTGTGCTTCATGTATCTCCTGAAAGAGTAACATGGCTACCATCAATTCATTCCTTCTGCAACAAAATACACAAGGACACTGAATCTTCAGCAAAAAACCACAAGGGGTTGAAACAACACCAATGCCTGCTTTGATTCCCACTCAAGTCAGTGGGACACCATATTTTCCATGGAGGTATGAACATCAGCTGTAACACAAATGCATAAACCAGTAACTGCTGTGTTAACTTATCTAGAGAACTATTTCATTTGCTAAAAACTCAACTGAATCTTGAAAACTACCACAGAATAATTTGTTAACTTCAGAAGAAATCCTTGAATCAGGTTGTGTATACAAAATAAATGTTAAAATTAGTGTGGGACAATGACCACCTTCTCCCAATCCCACTTGCTGCCAAAAAGTAACCATAAAACTTCATTTAAAAGTTGGTAACAAACATAGCATATATTAGCCATCCAATCAATTTGGTTTGCCCTATACCAGTAAAAGCAAATTTTATTATTTTTTACAAAGCATTTATGTGGTGAATTTTTGCAAAAGGGAAGCCTATTACTTAATAATTTTCTTTCTGAGCTTTTCAAATTTTTGGTCTTTTAACATGGCAAAATCCTAAAAAAATCTACATGCAATTTAAACTCTAATGATTTCCTACAGTGACCAAACCAATGCAAGGCCTTTTGAACATCACACCAAAAGGGCCTTTTAAACATGACATCAGCCTTTTCCCTAGAGTCTCCTAACCTCACTAGCAGAGCTGCCAGGTGATGCCTACATAAACACCACCTTTTTTTTTTTGTTCTGTGAAAAATACAGGAAAACTGGTATATTGCATTTAGTTACTCACTTTTTCACATCTCTGCTTCCTGCCCAGTAGCCTCCAATTGCAACAGTCCCCACGGCCATGACAAAGATAATCACCATGTTGTAGTCCAGCACAGGTTCATTTGGTGCATACATTGCTCCTTTCACTGAGCTGCCAAAGCTCTGTGGAGGTAACTACAAGTTAGGAAGGACATCCAAAAATCCACCTTAGCAAAGGTTCACTTACTTAATTTTCACTAAGCAACCTCAGAATCAGGCTTTAGTATAAACACATAAGAGCCATCTATTGGCTCTTCTATTAGTGATATTTATTTCCAGCACCAGGCTGTACTTTGATTTTATTCCAAAGATGAGAAATAACCTCCCAAGAGATTTTTTTTTCCAAAACACAATAATGCAATCTTCATGAATACACTCTCTACATATTCAAAGCTCTTAAGGTGGACTTAATACTGTTGAGCAGTGACTCATTTACATGAGATAATATAAATGAGAGCTTTTAGTATCGAGTTTACCTTGCCAATATCTAACATATCAGTATAGCTAAGCAGTGCCACAGGAATATCAATCTCTTCATACTGGCTCCTATTACCTCCAGGAGGAACCTGAAAGACAGTTCAGACCAGGTAAGAATATGTTTATTTCTGCAAATACTTCTACTGGTTCAAAAGTGTTAAAGTTGCAAATTCTGTTCTGGCTAATTTGAAAAATACTCTAGAAGGGAACTTAATGACAGCAAACACTCAAAAGTCAAAATATATGCCTGCTCCCAGTAAAACAGAAGTAATATAAGACTGTAACAGCAAAATGAAGCAACCAAATTTCAAGCAGTTTTTTTGCACATCAGGGTCACAGGTTTATGACTGATGTATGCCTCTAGTATTGACCAGGACTCAAACCTACTAATTTTATTTTCAAAACTACCAATTTTACAAAATACATGCTGTGGCTGCTCCAGCTGAATCTAAAGCACTAGATTCAGTGTGGTAGTATGATGGAGTCACAAACCAACCTCATCCTTTGACTCCAGTTTCATTTGGAACAAGGATAATCCTGAGCCCTTAACCTGAATTTCACATGAGCTGCCAACCCTTCCTGCTGAAATGAGGATTCTTGTTTCATTCATTCTTCCATCAGATGTATGGTTTCCACACATAACTATGCAACATATGTACATGCAGGAACACACATGCATTATTTACTTTAAAGAGGAACATCAAATACCAGCAATGTGCACCAAAGACAAGACAATATCTAGCATCAGAGGAGTATCAGCAGCATAGGAAGATAAAAAGCAACTTACCAGTCTCTCTCTACTAACAATCAGCAGCCCACGGGCCCCATTTATCTGAGCAAGCCTCACTTTCTCATAGAAGGTGCAATTTCCTCGCATCACCATGGGGATTTGATTATTAAATCCCCCATGAGGTACATCAGAAGGAGAACACAAAACAGATGCTGTCTGATCCTGCAGTTGCAGGAGTGACTGAAAAAAAGAAATTAGTTAAATACATATATATAACATAAAATAATAAAAGAAGTCAAGAGCAGAAGCCAGAGTCTCTAAAGAGTAATTTAAAACCTTCCAGTAATGGAGTGGTAGACTATTCTCAGAACAAAATGAAAGCTGAAACAATGCAGTCTTCTCTATTATGTAGGGACCTGCCTTGTTTCACCTTATTGTACAGAATTCTGCTGGTAATAAAATATGACCTTCACTTGCATCTATTTTCTTCAGCATTGTTGCTGTTCTGATGCACATGGCCAGGATGTGGGAGGAGTACAGCAAGGTTTTATCTTTGCTTGTATAGCAGAATGGCAGGCTGGGATGATGGAGAGTATGAATAGCTAGAAACTAAAACACAGGCTGGGGAAAAGTACAGAAGCATATGGAATAAACTTCCATCTTGAAACCTACTGTATCCAGTGACCTGAGATTTTGCATCCCAAGTACTTGAATACTGGATTCTAAGCTACTTCTCTCACCACTTGTGATCCAGAGACATTGCAAGCCTGTCCCAATTCCTTAATTTTGCCCTTCCTCAGACCCAAAGGCATCTAATCTGGTGTGTTTCAACAAGAACATCCCAAAGACACTTCAAGGTTTTAGAAATAACACTGGCATGAATTGTTCCTTGCAAAATCTAAACAACCACCAGCATCTTTGACCAGTTCTATTTGCGAGTTACCAGAAAACTGCAATTATCTACCAAACAACCAAGCTGTGCTAAGAGAAGCAGGTCTCAGCCCTTGCTGAGGTGAGCTGTCAGATTTGAGTAGAGTCAAGGTAAAGTTTTAACCTGAAAAAATGGAACAGTTTGTATTAAAAATCCACAGGTACACAACATACAATACCTGTGTAATGAACTCTACAGTTTTAGGAGGGGAAGGGAAGTGTCAGGTTGTCAGGAGCTTCCACCTTATTCAGAAAACTGCTGTCTCCAGCCTGACCTCTGGAGACAGTGAAATGCTCCAACCCACACTTCCTGGCCAGGCAAGACTCAGAGCACAGAGCACAACACAAATGCAGAGTGAGCTCAGAGTGCTGCACTGCATGGCCTCAGTGAATGAACTGTACTGCTGGAGGACTGAAGGAGGAGGAGCAAGAATGTGAAAGAAGAGAAAAGCAGGAAAGAACCAAGGAAGGAGACAGGGACAGGCAAGGGATATAGCATACTCTACCAAGCCTGTGCAAGCTATTCTGGACTGTACTGGCTCCTGCAGAGCTACTGAGATATGAATCTAGTGAAATTATAGGAGACTGATTTAAACAAGGTGTCTAGAGTACAGTCTCACAAGTACCACCGTCAGTCATGCATGTGCTGATTCACATTACACAGTCAGGGCAACTGCAAGAGTTTATTAGCTGAGTCTATACAAGGCAAAGACAACTATTGATGTATCTAGGGACTAATCTACAGGTGCAATAAACCCACCAGAAGTAACTGAGACTTGCCTACACACTGGTAAGGAACTCTAATAATTCTGTGGGGCTCATTCAAAGTGCATTTAATGATTTCATCATTCAGTGCCAGTAACTTTGTCTCACAGAAAAGAGTGAAGAATTTACTCAATTTTCAGCTCATACAGCTTTGAATAATGCAGCAAAAGCTTGACACAGTTTATGACTACCTAATCTTACACTTGACACTGAGAAAGCACTAAAGGCCACAGTCACTATATAAGAAAAGCCATGAGATATCTTCTTGTACCATGCTGACTACAAAAACTCCTTTGCAAGCCCAGGTATGTGCCATTTTAATTTCATTCATCACACCATTGAAAAGGAGTATTTTTGTTTTGAACAGCAACAGTCATTATCTCTGCACAATGCCTGGAAATGAACATTGCCATCCTAGCACTGCCTAGTGATCTTAGGAGATAAAACACTTTCTAGGCAAAGCAAACAAAGCAGTTGCTTCAAATTCTAGTAATCCAACTAAGAAATCAGAAGTTTCCTTGTAACAAAGGCATTTCTATACATTTTTTGTCATCAGTTAGCTAGGTACTTACAGCTTTACCCAGATCATGTGGCAAATGGGCCCACTGAGAGTTGAAGAGAATACAGTAGTCTTTTCCTTTGCTGCTCCCCTTCTCTGAAAGGACATGTACCATCCCATACTCACAGTACACCTGAAAATGTAACAAAAATTTCACAAGAATTTTAGGTTACATAAAATATCAGAAGTGAAGGGAGTAACTTGGTGTTGACTGGCCTGCTTTATATTTTTAAAGAAAAACAAGAGTCTAAAAAGTTTCCAAATCTGTGCAGGGAGTACAGTGGAATTTGTTATTATTTCCATCATGCTTCAAAGAAAGACTTTAGATACATTAGGCAGATTCCCTCCTACACAGCATTTGGCTAAAGAATCAAATGAAACAATATTGGATGTGTTTAAAGAAAAAAGACCAAACCCAACAAACAAAAAAGCCAACCTCAAACAACACTGGTGCACATATGTATATAACCACAGCGTTTCATGATTTTATGAATAAGATACCAACTCTTGAAAGTGCAGCCTGAAATAATGATCAATTCTAAATTTATATCACTCCAAAACTCAACCTTGGACACCTTTGCTGAAGATGTGGCAAGACCCCAAAGCAGCAGCAGCTCTTTTTCTGTCCTAGGTAGTACATGTAGACTCTCAAGTCTACCTACTGCATTTATTTATCACTGCTTCAATGACCAGTTGTCATTGTTGTCAAAACTCCAATGACATCTGCAACAATGTAAGTAGTGAGATTACATATCTAATATTTATAATTAAAGGCCTGTCCTTGGTCTGGCTGGGATGGAGTTAGTTTTCTTTATAGCAGCTGATGTTGCAGTGTTTTAGTTTTGTGCCCAAAACAATGCTGATAACAAACTAATGTTTTAGCTATTGCTGAACAGTGAGCAGAGTGTCAAGGCCTTCTCTGTTTCTCACCCTGTTCACCTGGTGAATAGATGCCCAAGAGGTTTGGAAGGGGTCACAACCAGGCAGATGATTCAACAAGGAGATATTCCACATCCATAGCATATCACATTCATTTTTATAAGGAGGTTAGCTATCTTTTGCATCATGTACATGTTAGAATTGTCCTGAAGAACTCATGGAAACTGAGGTAACAGAACCTAGATCCTGTAGTAACATGCAGAAAGAGAACAAGAACTACAGCAAAAAATAAAAACATGCAGCAAATCTACCAGTTTTAGAGGTCTCAGTTGTGATACACAGTATGTAACTTGCTTGTTCAGTGAACTGCTCATACTACACCTAACTGCAAGATGTGCTGATTTTAGCACAAATATTTTCAGCTTCCCATCCCTGAAAAAAAAAACCCAACCAAACAAAAAACCACAGCAAACACAGTAATTTCCTCATTATTTTGGTTAGGTCAGATTGTACCAGGCCATTTCCCAGCAAAACTGGAAGATCTGGGGGCTCACAAGTAGGTAGTGGCAAACATTTCCTTAACACAGCTGTTTTCACAAATCTCATTCTTCATGATGAGGTCTGTTCTTTTAAACATCTACTCCTATCCTTCCCTTCCCTGTGTATAGTGACACAATTTTGTGAGTACTAGGTATATTCCTCATCTTCCACCCAAAAAGCTGAACCTAAATCACCTACAAGAGTATATATATATACACACACACACATACATATGTATGTATATACATAACCTGCAAAATAAAGTACTTTTGTGGAGTTGATGCAGTTGTCTGTTTGCACCCCAAGTCCTAATAGATGTTTACCCAGGGAATCGGGAAGTAGGAAGACAAAATAACAGTGGAAATAGGTACAACACCCCTATCACTAGTGATGGTTTCCTCTAATTAGTGTTGATTTCATTCTTGTATTAACTGAGTCAAAATAATTGTAAATCCTCCCTGATCTTGGAAATGGTTAAGAAACACAAAGTATATGATGAGGTCTGTTTGTAGTGTTCTAAGGACGCTGAAATAATCCTCTGGGCCATTTCTAAGTGGCAAACAGGTCCCTTGCAATGCTTCTCTCTCTGGCAAGAGGCTCTTGTCCTTGCTTGAACAAGAAGGCATCAGAGCATCATCGCTTTATCAATCAGCCATCAAGTCTACTGGACACTTGCTCCTCAGAGCAGCAACACAGGGATTGCAGGCTCTGTCTTGGGAGGACTGTCAGGCACCATTTCCACTCATTGAAAAAGAGTAAGTCAAGAAGTCTTTCCTTTATACAAAATACTGAACATCAGCTCCTCAGTGTGAAGTTTGCTTATATGCATTCTGTGGCCATCTGGTCAGGTTTGAACATTAACACATTAAGAATTCAATTTCAGATTAAGATCTGACCAGCTGCTGCAAAAAGATTTTAATGCTTCACATAAAAATACATTAAGATATAAAAGTAGTGTTCAGAAAGCAGGACAAAACCTAACTTTAAAAATGTAATTCAATTATACAAACCCAGATCAATGCTTCTTTTTGAAGGAGAGTCTTGTTGATCTTCAGTTGCTGCTTTAGAGCCTCACAGTGCTCTTACAGAGCAATTTCAATGTTCAAGAAATGCTGTCTGGTAATAGATTACAAAAGGATGATGCTGAGAGCAAATGCAAATCATATCTGTATTTTAGCTTCATACAAGCTACCTAGATAGTCAGGAAAAAGTTGACTGCATATTAAATGTAGCAGTCTCAAAATACTATTTCAGCTCACTGATTTGGAAATCCAGTCCTTAGGAATACCAAACACTGTTAATGTGACTGGATTCTTCCTCTTATCATTTTTGTGTTCCCAGAGCATTTGTTTCCTATTGTAATGGGAAGTTTCTCCATTTTATTGAGGACATTAACTAATCCTTGGTAGCACTTAGCACTTGGAAGTTGCAAAAAACCCAAAATCCACCAACCAACCAAAATCCCCTCAAACCAAACAAACAAACCCCCTCCCATCACAACCATCTTATCTTTCTACCATCCCCCTTTGTGTCATATTCCTCTCATACCCACACATCCAATTCCTTCCTTTCCATTCTTCCTTCTCTCTTTCTCTTGTCCAGCACTCAAGCAAAACTGAAGTCATTGACTGAAGATATGTTTAACTGGTCTATTGCTCTGCTTTAGTTTTCCCCAAGGAAATCACTTTGTGCCTACCAGAACTGATGAAACTTTGTTCAGGAGATAAATATAACATTATATCCCTAACCATCACTGCTACTAATTAGAACGTTGTGACAGACTAATTTGTCAACATCTAGTTTAACATTCCTAACCTAAACACACCAATGATATGATAATTATGCAGTTACACTCTTACAAATACACCTAACACATCTGTTTCTTCATGTAGCAGCCGAGGAACAAGATGCTAAAGATGACTGGAGTCAGCAAAAATGTCGTATCTTAACATGCTTGTTCAAAAATCCATTAAAAGAATCCATTGCATTTATTTCTTCCTCTTTATTTCAAACCCTACTACACAGAAATTACCATGCATCCCTAGGAGACACTCAGGGTAAAAAGATGTTTTTTGGAAAACTTTTGAGAATTCCAGAATAGTTTAGGTTGGAAGGGATCTTTAAAGGTCACCTTGTCCAAATCCCTGGCAATGGGCTGGGAAATTGTCAAGTAGACCAAACCTTGTTCAACCTGGCCTTGAACACTTTCAGGGATGGGACACCTATCTCTTCTCTGGACACAGTGAGGAGTTGTGTGCTTTACTAGTATTTTACACTGTGCCAGTTTTTACCACCTGCATTGTAAAATCCCTCTTTAACACACACAGTGTGCCCAGAGGCAATGACGGCATTCTGCTGCAAGATGTCAGCAAAGCAGTAAAGACACGTCATTGTAAAAATATACAGGAGGTAGAGATTTTTATATTTAGCTCTTCTGTATATAAATGGTCTTTGTTAACATATGTAGCAACTTTTTCCCTTTTTTATAACATGAGTGTTAACTAAGTCCTTTAGAGCCAATGACATTTGTCCTGAAGCATGCTGACAGGGGAGGTCACACTGATTAGCTCAGTGCAGATTAAAGCCACTTGAGCACAGTGCAAGTTTCCAAGATATCTGTGGAGAAAGAGAGACACTACTGTGCATATGCTGTGAGGAAACAAGAACTCCAACTCCCTGCTATAGTGGACTTGTTAACTCAGATCTCAGGTATCCAACCATAGCACCTAAACAACAGAAACAAATAATTTAGAAAAATAACCTATACTTACTATCTTGAATTTGATTTTGAAGAGTAACAAACAACAGAGATGCAAATACAGTCATACACAAAAGACAAGAACAAAAGAATGCTCCCTGCTTATTGTACATAATCTAACTGGGCTTAGATAAACAAACAAAACATGAAGTATCTTAGCTTTGAATATTACATGTACAACTCTCTCCAAAATCTTCAGGCAGTTTTGTAGGAGCTCTCCTGTAATTGAACAGCTTTATGCATATGGGAAACAATCAAGCTGTACAGTTAAAAGTTTTACATCTATGAAATATATGGCACACATCTTTAAAATGAGAGTAACTATAGGGTGTGTTGCTACATTTCTGTGGAGATAAGCATTACTGGAACTCAGGAATAATTCCTAAAAGGCACCCGGGAGGCAGTTATACACAATTTTGCTTTCTGAGCCATTTAATGGACATTCTTCAAAGAAATATTAAGGGAGTAGAAGGTTCCTAATGTGAAATGCTCAAAACATTTTAGAAGCTATGTAGATTTGTGTTCCAAAAGCCAAATGAAAGTCAAGCATGAGAGGAATTAAAGGCAATATGAGCAGGGCTAAAAGCAGAAGAGGGAACAGAGAGTTTTAGAAACTCTGTAGAGAACATAATCTGTGGATAATGTGGATTAACAGACATTTTTACAAAGCTATTATCACTTAGAAGCAAAGTATAGTTCTGAAGTTTGTTCTTATCCACTTTCATGCATCCAGGTTTGTTTTTATTCATGTCAGTAGGTATGAGACAACAAAAGTTCGAGCAGTGCTGCTGATGCACTGGCATAGTGGGAACATTTATAATGATTTCTTACTCCTAGAGACCACTTCATATCCTAGATGAACCCAGGAGAAAATATCATCTCCTGTGCAATCCTATACAATGTGCCTACAACACCAAAGGCTCTTTTCCAAGTGTTTGGATATCAAGTCCAGCCTTTTTCAAACACAGAAAACAACAGCTGCTGTGACAATAAGGTATATTATACTTGCATCTTATTGATCCTGTGGCTTAAAAAGCACACAATAGTGTATAATTAACACAAAAGGAAGTGTTTTCTATAAAGCTGCAAAACTGGAAAGGGTTTTCACACAACAGAAATGTAAAATCTGAGGGCAGAATTTAACAGACAGATGAGCTAATCTAATGTTTGTGGTAATAGAAGGGCATACTTGTTAGCTCTAAATCTCATCAGGGCCTTCCACAGATCAATGCATAAAAGACAAGAATGCTCTCCAGTTTATTTGCTGTGCAAGTTTTTTTAGGTGAATTAATGTAGCTCAGAGGCAAGCACTGGACTTGCAAGTTAAATGATAGAAGAGGGCAGAGAGGAAGAACTCAGTTCATCAGTATTTCAAGAAACTTCAGTGTGTGTGACTGAGCCAACCCAATGACTGTCTTGTTTGTTCCTCCCTGCCTCTGGCCCCACACTCACTGGATGTCCTATACACCTTTCCTGCTTTAGTAGCTCTATTAACTGACCTAGCCACTCATATCTCAGAGAGGTTTCACAGACACTGGGAGCTGTGTTCCTTGAAGAAGGAATGAATGAGCTATCCTACTCTTAGAGTAGGTACCATGTCTGAGTTCCCAGGAGCTGGAGTCATTCTTTCCCATGAACTACACTGATCCATCTGGAGACCAGCAACAGCAGGCAGCAAAGCTGCACACAAATAAAACACTCCTTCAACAAACACAGTGCAGAGAGCTACGTATTCATAATGCAATAATTCCAGGAGACTTAAATTGTCAGCCACCACCATAATGCAGAATTTCAGACAGACTTTCCAATTCTTTGGACCCATATCATAGAGTGCCCTAATTTAAAATACAAACCCATCACTTCAATTCAACATATTCTGCTGAAAGCTGCTACAGTGAAGGCCAGCTAGATCCAACACACTTGCTGCAGATCATGTTGCTATGTTCGTCACTAGTCAAAGGCTCACATATCTGCTGTTGTTACAGGAAACTGAGGGGTAACAATACCTGGAAAGAACAGGAATTTAAATGAAATGTGAGAACTCAAATACCAAAGCAAGATCTAAGTGCAGATTGTACTTGGATCTATAAGATCACACCACTCTTAAAGTGTTCCCAGATAAGGACCCAGATTTGGAAGAGCCACGCTTCAGTAGCCAGGCTGATCCTTCTCCCTAAATCAGAAGATAGAAGCAAATGTGGACATTACCTCCTCTTGCCCCAGGGAAAACAAATAAACAAAACATTTCTATTATCCTGTTTCAAGGAGGGAGACAAAGGTATATGCTCACTAAGGCAAAGGTAAAGCACTGAGAATGAGTACAGCTGGCACAAAGAAAACCCACATAGCAGCTCCTGACAACAGCTGTCAGCACTGTCCCCTGGAATGACTCCAGCCATCAGTCACAGGGGTACCAAACCAGGACACGAGCACCAGAGCACTCCTCTCTGCCTCACACTAAGGAGGATGTGCTACTCAAGCCATCCCAACAAGTCCAAGCACAAGAGACGCAGAAGTTAGGCACAATACAAGGTATTCAAGCAAATTTTTAAAACATGAGCTTGGCTAACAGAAACATATTGGCAGCACACAGTACATCCACTTTTCACTGCAGCAGCAGGACTGCTTCAGCACCCTGGCCAGTCCGCCCAAGCTTATTCAACTACATTAACACTTGCACTGCACAAATATACCAAATGTTTACAGACAGGAATGTGCTGCAATGCATGGAGCTGAACATAAGACCTCCAAGACTATCCACCCACTGTCCTTCTGCACTGCCATATGCTCACCTTCCCCAAACTGATGGATCAAACCGACTCCATGCCAGTCTTTGACTCATTCTTGTTAATTTGTTAATTAAATCTTATTAATTTGTTGGGCCTACACTGGCACTACCAGTCCCTGCGAAGCCTCACTGGAGATGACAAAATGAATGGCGCATGCAAGAGCATAATGAACACATAATGAAGATAAGGATAATGGATGCAAAAAGGGAATGATATAGAAATAAAGAAGATAGCTGACAACCAGACTACTCTGTAACTAAAGATTATTGGCAAGGAAACAGTAAGGAGACAGAGGGAGAAGAAGGAAAAATTAGAATTCCATGTTATGATGTTACACCAATAATATTCAAGAAGCCATAATACACTCCAAATTACCTAACAAACAGTCAAGAAGTTTAAATGACAAATTAAATGACATTTCAAAATTTTCAGAACACAAAACACCGAACTTAAAAGGCAAAAGCTATATACCATGCAGTGCAATTGCTAGAAATCCACTCTCTCCTGTATCAGGATTTCATGCCCAGTTCGTCACACCCTTAGAAACATAGCCCACAAAATAATATTTTAGTAATGACAATACAAGACTCAAGACAGACTACAGAGTCAGGGTCAGCAGAAATCCCTTCTTTTTTGCTGAACGCTTCCTCTCAGGGAGTTTGTCAGTCAGGATAAAGCCAGAGCCGTCATTGCGGGGATCTGGCCCGGGGGCTCGGCTGCGCTCCCCTCCCTGGGGCTGCCTGGCGAGGATGCTGGGCTGGGCCCACGGGGGCCCCGAAGTTTTAGGAACTACGAGGAAAACGCTAGTTACTACGGAAAGAACAAAAAAGTCTCAAACAACCCCAGACCCACAGATATATCAATACTGCCAAATCGCGGAGGGCAGGGCCGGCAGCCCCATGCGCTCCGCTGCCTTCCTGCGGCCACGGCTCGGCCCCGGCCCGCTGCAGGACGGCTGCAGCGCCTCCGAGCGCCCACGGGCGGCGGCTCCGGGCTCGGACGCGCCGCACAGCCCGCCCGGGCCCGGCTGCGCCGGGGGCCGCTCCCCGCCCTCAGCCAGGCTGGGCGCGTAGCTCGGGGAGTGCACGGCCCGGCACGGCCACTGACCTGCGGCAGCAGATGCAGGAACAGCCAGAGGCGGAGCGGGGCCGGCCGCGCCGCCATGCCAGGCCTGCCGCGCCGCTGCCGCTTTGTTCCGAGCTGAGCCGGGCCGGACCGGACCCTTCCGCACCGGGCACCCAGAGCCCGCCCCGGACGTCCCGCCCCAGCGCCCCGAGCCGCCAACCGGCTCCGCCGGGGCACGACGTCACTTCTGGCGGTGCCGAATGAAATGGCGAGTGGCGGCGGTGGCGGCGGTGCGGGGAAGATGGCGGTGAGGAACGGGGTAGTGTGGGCTCGGTGCCGGTGGTGCCGGTGGTGCCGGTGGTGCACCTGCGCCCCCGTCCTGCCACCGCGGCATCCCGCAGCAGCGTTCCGGGTCTGTGTCTCCGCGGATGGCGCGCTTTAACTGAGCCGCCTGTGCTCTGCCGTAGGATAAGGAGAAGAAGAAGAAGGAGAGCATCTTGGACCTCTCCAAGTACATCGACAAGACCATCCGGGTGAAGTTCCAGGGCGGGCGGGAAGGTGAGCCCGGCGCGTGGCTGTAGCACGAAGCTCTTTGGCCTCTCGGCGTTTTCCTCAGCCGATGCCTGTGGGCTCTGCCCTCCTGCTCACACTGCTTTCCCATCAAGGGAAGCGGAGGAGTAGCGGGTGCTTTTACTTATTAGTGGTTGTAGTTAATGGTGCGAAGCTTCTCTCGTTTAAGTATTCCGTTGATCTCCTGGGTGCACTTTTATGGCTCATCTGTGCATCTCTTCTTTTATTAGTTGTTTTGAACAGCCTTATTTTGGCTGGGGTTAGTTTTTTGGGTTTTTTTTTTTTTTTTGTTTTTGGGTTTTTTTGGGTTTTTTTGTTTGTTTGTTATGTTTTGGGTTTTTTTGGGGTTTTTTTTTCTTTCTTTTTGCATTGCAAGGATGCACTTAAAGGAACAAAGAAACATTTATGGATGTAACAATTAATGCAACTGTCGTGCCTTTCATCTCTTGACATGGTAAGCATGCCCAGAGTTCGTGGTTCAATATATACCACGGTGCCTTTGCATCCCTGTCCCTTCCCAGCTGGGCAGGTACATCCCAGTGCACTTGGTGCCACCCGCAGGCACTTGTTTGTCTGAGTTTACCATGTGCTGCATTTTCAAACTCCACTGCAACCTTGTGCTTATAAGGGTTTGGAAGTTACTCGAACTCCTTACTGAGAAGTGTATTTGTCAAACTAGGAAGTCGCTCTGTGTAATTTTGTGATATATTAAGTGACTGGTCTTGTGGAATCACGTTCTCCATTAGGACCAAGTGCTGGTCTATCTGCAGTGCCTTCCCGTGAGGTAGTGCTTATGCTAAAGACATGATGTGCCAGGAGGACACCTGGAAGATGGTTTTTCTGAGGAAAGAACTTAAAATATGGTCTTGCTTCATTTTTAACCATAACCTTTCATTAAGGATATTTATTTTGTGTTGGAGTTGTCTTTTTTTTTTCTTTGTGTGACTTGTACTGATTTGTTATACAGTATTCTTAAACTGCCTTTGAAGTTGTCTGAAAGCAAAAATGTTAGGGTCTTGAAGAACATTTGGAAGAATTGATTGAAAAATCTGTAACTTTTAATTGGTGCAATGCAGACCAGCTCTTGTGTACTTGCCATTGATAAAGAAGACACTGTTTAATATCTCTGGCCTCATTTGTTTGGACTTGCCTGAAGGAGGGAAGAGGCCTGGAGAACTGAATCTACCTTTCATGAAGTCTTATGTTGCTGTATACCTTGTTTTGGTCCTAATCATTGTTTTCTGTGTGGTCTTCAATAGCAAGTGGTGTCTTGAAAGGATTTGACCCTCTTCTGAACCTTGTGCTGGATGGTACCATTGAGTATATGCGAGGTAAGTAATGTGCAATCTTTGGAAAGCTTCCCTTCCCTGGGTGATTTTCTTGACAGAAATCTTACAGTTCTGTAAGTGAATAAGCAGAAACGGCAGATTAACATCACCCAAACTGCAGCATGCTTGGGATAACTATCTTGTAAAGAAAGACGTAAGGTGATGGGTCTATGGGACCTGATTACATGTTCCTGAGGGAATTGGCTGTTACAGTTCCCAGGCTACTCTAAAACATTTAACAAGTGATGGCAGTCAGATAATGGGAAAGAGGGAAACATTGAAACCATTTTTCAAAAGGGAAGAAAGGAGCCTGGGAACTACTGTGCTGTCAGCCTGACCTCTTGTGCCTGGGACGATCATGGAAAAGATCCTCCTTAGAGCTCTGCTAAGACATTTGGAGGACAGGGAGGTGATTTTAGGCATCCACTATGGCTTTACCAAGGGAAAATCCTGTCTGAACAACCCAGTGGCCTTTGACACAATCCCCCACTGTCACAGCAGTGGGCCCCCGGCTGGGTAATAATTAGCATTGCCTCCATGGTTCACAGAAGGCTGATCAATATTTTTATTTTATATATATATATATATATATATATATATGCATTTATATATATCATTATTAAGAAACCCATTGCTTTTATAGACCGTTACGATACACCTGGACTGAATTGGTCCTCCAATCCAAACACTATCACCATTGGCTAATTAATCATCCTTTGGTAAACAAATCTCCATAACACATTCCACATGTTCACAATAACAGGTGCAGCAGGCCAAGATAAGAACTATTTCTCATTCTTTTCTCTGATCTTCTCACAGCCTTTTCCCAGAAAGGCCTGAGAAAGTTGTCTGTTGCTCTCTGTGGCCTGAGAGCTGCTGCCACGCCCCACAACATCCTTCTCCCTAAATTGAAGAGAAATGGATTTGATGGGTGGACTGTTTGGTGAATGTGGAATTGGTTGGATGGTCATATGCAGAGGGTAGTAGTCAATGGCTTCATGTCCCTATGAACATCAGGGACAGGGGGTGTTCCTCAGAGATCTCTGGGGACCAGTACTGTTTAGTGTCCATCAGTGGTGTAGGCAGTGGGATCAAGTTCACCCTCAGTCTGTGGGTGACACACCTGAAGGATGGGGCCATCCAGAGGGACCTGGACAAGTTTTTGAAGAGGGCCCAAATGAACTTCGTGAGGTTCAGCAAGACCCAGGCTGGGGGATGAATAGATTGAGAGCAGCCCTGCTGAGAGGGACTTGGACTTGCTGGTGGATGAGAGGCTGGACAATATGTGCTTGCAGCTCACAAAGCCAGCTGTGTCCTGGGCTGCATTCCTACCAGGGAGGGGATTCATCCCCAGGGAGGGGATTCTGCTCCTCTGCCCCTCTGCTCAGGTGAGACCCCACCTGCAGAGCTGCCCCAGCCCTGGGCAACAGCAGCAGGAGGACGTGGAGCTGCTGGAGCCAGGCCAGAGGAGCCACGGAGATGCTGCAAGGGCTGGAGCCCCTCTGCTCTGGAGCCAGCCTGGCACAGCTGGGGGTGCTCACCTGAAGAAGAGAGATGGTATTGTGGCCTTTCGGTTTTAAAGGGACATAAAAGGAAATGCCAGGGGGTGAATGCTTCAGCAGGCCCTATTGTGGCAGAGCAAGAGGTAATGGGTTTAAACTAAAGGAGGGTCAATGTAGATATAACAGAAGATATAGATATAAGGAAGACAGTTTTTTTATAATGAGTATGATAAAAATACTGGGACAAGTTGCTCGGTGAGGTGGTAGGTGCCCCATCCTTGGGAGCATTCAAAGATGGGACTCTGAGCAACTGGGTCTAGTTAAAGATGTCCCTGCTTGTTGCAGGGGGGCTGTACTAGATGACCTTTAAAGGTGATTCTGCAGCAGAAGTTAGGTTAAGCACATTCCCTGTGATAGAACATCCCTGGTAGTCCTTGCTTGAGCTCCTCTATAGTTATCTCATTGGCTGCCCTTGTCCTCTAAAGCTTCAATAAAGCAGTGTCTCTTTCTTCTCTGGTACAAAAGCTGTCATTTGATAGGACAAAGTTTTTGAAGAGTATTCTCCTACCTGTTTAAAAGGGAGCACAGAAGCTTTGAATTTCATCTTTAAAAGAGAGTTTTGAAATGTGTTGTTAATTTCTATTGAATATAGAGATATCTCTATATGGAAGATAGAAGTGGTTGGTTTGTGTTTTTCCCAATCCAGCCCTGTTTGTCTGAGAATGGACTGGTGCTGTCTTCCCTAGTGCATTGAGAAGTCAGGGTCTTTTTCTGATCTGCATTAATCCCCAATTGTTTGTCTAAAATGACATTTGAAATGGGATCAAGAACTTTTATTAATCACTTGCATGTATATTATTAGTTAGAGGCCTATGAATTCTTTAATAAGTGTGTTCTGCTTTTTGTTGCATACAAAGCAAGTTTTGTTATTGCTTACTGTAGGTAAGGTCTTGAAAATATCAAATGTCACTGCTGCATCACCTGTATGATCCATGTGTTCAATAAAACAAAGCAGCTATGCCAGGAAAGAACATGCATGTCTGTGCCTTTTGAAGTTGATGGAATTTGGTTTCCTTTTCTTATTTTCCTGTTCTAACCATGGATCTCTGCTTTTTAGATCCGGATGATCAATTTAAATTAACAGAAGACACACGTCAGCTGGGACTTGTGGTTTGCAGAGGAACTTCTGTGGTTCTGATTTGTCCACAGGATGGAATGGAAGCTATTCCAAACCCTTTCATTCAGCAGCAGGATGGCTAATGCTTTCTTTGGATTGTCTCTGAAAACTTCAGGGGTGCAAGTCATTGGAGAAAACTACCAGCGTGTGAGAAGCTTCCTGTTTTGGGGGGGAAGTTTGAATGTGTATTTGTTAGTGTGAAAGAAGTCAACTTTTATTTTTGTGGCTTTCATAAATGATGAGAGGATGGGGAATGTAAGAAGCATGTTCTTGTTTTCCTCTCCCCCAAATAAGCGTGTAACTATGTTGTTTAGAGCTGACAGAAGAGAACATATTGTCGTGAATTGTCTGAGACCTTCTTGATCTTGTGAGTTTTGAAACAACCCCATAAAATTAGTTATGAATGCCCTGAATATTGGTTATATTCTTTCAATTTTTAAATACATTAAAATGCCTTTAATCGAAATTAAAAGCCTAAATACAGTAGAACATGTTTTTCTTCCTCTTAGATATCAGTACTCAACTGGGGAAGCATTATGTTGTAGTCTTCTGCTGTTGAGTTCAGTCTCTTGTGCAGGAAAATTACTTCCTTGTGTAGTGTCATCGCCTTTACAAGGGATGTAGCCAAGAAGGTCTTTTTCAGCACTTGTTCCAGAACTGGTGGGCTGTGATCTGTGTATCAGCAGGCTCACATATTTCTACAGAGGATTGGTCTAACTTGTGGGATAATGCTTGGTTAAGTGACCTAAACCTTATGGAGGTAGCTATTTGTTACTTGGAATTTTAGGAGGAGAGTATTTAATATCCTAACATTTGTTCAATTGTAGGCAGTGTCTGGAAGTACTGCGTATTTTTATATTGTAGCTATCCACTTGTGGTTTTGCCTGTTATAACTTGATTTGTAAGTAGACATTTTTATTTCTTTTATACTGCAGAAAATGCAAGATTTGAGGAGTTCTGAGTGAATAAAGACAAATTGATCTGTTTCCAAATGTCTGGTTTTTAGTCTGTAAAAGTGCACTACAGCTAACATTACAGTTCTCCAGCCATAAATCTAAATTAAATTAGTTCAGGAGGTGCATAAACACTGCAGGATCAGGAGGGACCAGAGTAGAAGCCGTACTTCAAATAGGGAATTGATGGAGAAGGCCTGAGAGCATCTTGTCCCTCTTCTGAAGCATTTTAAAGACTACCTGGTTGAGGCATGTGCCTGGAGCCTGTAACCTGCTTCTGCTACCTGCTCTTGCCTTTATAGAGGGCCCTTTATGAGGAGGCTGTGGCAGAGTGAATTGTTTTGCTGGCAGCAGCAGTTTTGTTCCTGAAGGGTGTCAAGAACACATGGCAAGTACAGGTTGTATTGGTTATTTTGGCCACACTTTTCTCCCATGCATAACCTTTCCTGGGTCAGCTCCAAAATGTGTGGGAACTTTAGAGTAAATTTCATTTTAGTGAATCTGACTTCCAGGAGGCTCTCAAACTAGGGACCAGGTGTTGTGTGTGATGTGTTGCCTGTGTGAACTTGGGTGCATCTGGATTTTAATCTGGGGACTCACAGAGCTGTCTATAAAGTTGTGCTCCTCACAACCTAGTTTTCTAATGCTACAAAACTTGCTTGTGAAACGGCACAATTCAAAAGATAATCCTTATTTAGAGTGTGAGGAGTAGAATTTGCTTGCCGTCGGCCTGAGCAGAGTCTTGAACTGTCCTTTTAGGTGGGAGAAAGATTGCTGGTGTTGATGCCAATAATGTGCTGCACTATTTTTGCACTCTAAGTATAGCATCAGAAACAGGCCTGCTGGGGCTCTCTGGGCTGGATTCTGGGCTCTCAGTGCTGGGAGATCTGCCTGAAGCTGTGGGTCAAGTGTGTAAACTCTGGAGAGGGGCATGTTCCCAACATTTCCTGCTCAGGTGATTGGTTGCTTGGTCTTTGTTGTGAGCTGCATGTCTCTCCTTTTCTGCAGCACAGACTCTGAGGTTATACTTTGGAGTCAAGTACCTGAAAAGAAGAATTTGAAAATAATAGGGGGCAGACATTTTAGCAGGGCCTGTTGTGATAGGACAAGGGGTAATGGTTTAAGCTAAAAGAAGGGTGATCCACACTAGAAATAAGGAAGAAAGTTTTTATGATGGCATGGTGAGACACTGGCAAGGCTTCTGTTTGCTGAGCTCTGCCAAGAACTGGGAGTGAGTCTTGCTGGTATGGGCTCTTTGGGTAAGGGACTCTACCTCAAGGTCCCTATGCAAGTCTCTTCATGCAATAGCTTTGGAAAAATTCACTGTGGCATTAGCTGGTGCTTGTCCTACATCTGTGTTTATTTAGTGCTTTCAGATTGAGGATGACTGAGCATGTGAAGCCATCTGGGTTTGAATGGGGGCTCACTCCTTCTCTTACTAAAGTATAAAGTTAGATATGTAATAAAAACTGTAATCACTTTGGTACTTGGTTAAACTTGAACTAATGAAAGATGAGGTAATAGTTGTTTTTTTCCAAATGGGTTCAATGTTTTTTACAACTTCTTTATATTTACTCACTGCTTAGGAATCTTTTGATTGTTTCTCCAGTTTTTTTCTTTTTAGCCCAGGCTCTTTGCTTGGCTAACAGCTCCCTCCCCTTATTTTCTGTGGCCTTACCTGGTAAAAGTAGATGCCAGTCAAATCTGTAATTTTTAGGTTATACAGCTGTTCTGCTAATGCTGTTCAGAAAGCAGCAGAAAAGACAGAAGAACAAAGCAGGAGAGTAGAAAACATGCTATTTTTAGGACAAGATTGGTTTATCTCATACTTATCCTAGCCAGGGGGATAGTGTTTCCAGAGATGGAAAGGGCTGCATAAGACTGAGTTAAAATTAACTGCCTGGCAGTATACAAGCATGGAGCCTGCACAAGAGCCACAGGAGCTGGGACCTCAGACAGAAATGATTGCAGACACAATTCTTGAGGTTGGAGAGAGACTCTTCCAGGTCAGCCGTAGGGTGCTTTCAGTACACAGTCGATATTTTGAAGCCATGTTTTTTGGAGGAGCAAGAGAGAGCTCTGAACAGCACATAGTGATCAAAGGGATTGATGCAGTGCCATTTCAGGCACTACTTGAGTTCACTCGCACAGCCCAAGTGCTCATAGGTCAAGAAAATGTGACCAGCTTACTGGAAACAGCTGATTTTTTTCAGTTTGACAGGGTGAAACTGTTGTGTGAGAAATTTCTGGAGAGAGAACTGCATGTTTCAAACTGCCTGGGCTTGATGATCTACTCACAGCAATTTGCCTTTACAGAGTTATATGTGTCTGCTATGAATGTGGCTCTCACTCACTGGGGGGATGTGATATGCCAGGAAGAATTTAAGGCATTACCCAAGGAAATGCTGGTGCAGCTCCTGAAGAGTGATGACCTCTTCATTTCAAGAGAGGATGTGGTTTTTGACAGTATTATGATTTGGATAATGGAGGACCCAGCAACAAGAGAGGAAGAATTTCTGGATTTGGTGGGCGAAGTCAGGGTCACTTTTCTGAGTTTGTCCTTCCTCGATATCTTGGTGAAACGCAGCAAGCGTGCTGGAGAGACAGATATCTTTTCCAGACTAATAAAGAAGTTAGACAGCTGTCCCCCACCCAGCTGGCAAAATCCGAAACTGTGTCCTTATGCTGGCCGGAGCTATGACACCTTATATGTCCTGGGAGGAAAGCATGACAAGGAACAGCAAGAATTATTTCTCTTTCAACCTAAAACAGGGACCTGGCAGGCTTGTTCTCCACTGCAGCGCAAGAACCTCACCCAGTATGCAGTGGCAGCAGTAGGTAACTTACAGAGGAGGGAGACCGAGCAGATGCAAACAGAAGTTGAGACTGAGTCCCAAATGCAGGGAGTCCAACTGTTGCTGTAAAACTGTTGTGCTCAGCATTGCTAAAACCTCATTCATATTGGTGTTCACATTTGTTCAAAGAATGTTTTTTTCTTCCTTAGTCCTGGGAGAGTGCTAGACAATACTATTCTCCTATAGCAGAAACTATGCAGTCTCCCAAGCTCCTTACCTTGACTTTATCTGGAATTAGTCTAAGGACTTGGCTTTAAAGCCAAGTATATTTTTTGGCCTTCTCTTTTGTAGTGATTTAGACATATGACAGGTGAATTCTGATTTATAGTTGCCATTACATTAAACTTATCTACAGATGTTGGGAAATCTTCATGCTTGGAGACTTTCAAGCCAGCTCAGTACTATGGCTTCCTGTGTTAGTTTTGGTAATAGTCCCATTTCTGGTAGGAGTCTAGAAGTAAGATCTCCGAGGTTCTTTCCAACCAGTGTTTCCATGATTCTGTTCAAAAATGGGAGCAGGCTTGGAAAGACTGGCTGCATTCTGTAGGCCCAATGAATTAAATACTACAAACTGATAGAGCAGTGATTTTCTCTCCTCATCTTGCACCTTATCAGTACAGCCCAGGGTGAAATGAGAACCCCAGGTATCAGGAGCAATTTTTAGCCTTCACATGACTAGTATTTTCTTTGCTGTGCTTCCAGGGAGCTTCCTTTTTGTGACAGGAGGATACTTCCGGGATGAATTTGTGTGGTACAGTGTGGATTGGGTGCTCATCTACAACTGCTTGGACAATTGCTGGCTGGAAGGGCCAGCCATGAAGAAGTCCCGCAACAGCCACTGTGCAGTAGGAGTAGGGCTCCACTTGTATGTCCTCGGAGGGAGTACAGATGAAGGGATAATCCCAGCAGTGGAGCGCATGGCTTTGATGGAGTCAGAGTGGGAAAGCATGAGTCCTATGGCTCAGCCTGTGGAGAGAGGCGACGCGGCCAGTGTGGGAACCAGGATCTATGTGGTCTGTGGCCTGGATGAGAATGGACACGTGTATGATGGAGTCCAAAGGCTGAACACAGAGACAGACAGCTGGGATGTCATCTCGTTCTCCCCTCTTCCAAGGTAAGAAATAATATTCTGGGACCTGGCAGAAGATGAAGGATTCTAGTGTTGATCCGGCTCCAGGAAGAGGTTATAGTGTAGAAATCCATAAGTTCTGTCCCTGCAACACTTCTGTGATTCTCTGTTTAAATAGGACTTCTGATCTGAGGACCAAGATCACCCTGAATATTTCAGGGGCCAAATCTTTCTGTTGATTCTGATCAAGGGTTTCTTCTCTCTCAGGTATGACCTCTGCATCACATCCCTGAATGGGGCTCTGTACACTGTAGGAGGGGAAGCTTTTCGATTTGATGTGGAGACAGATGAATGGACCCAGGTGAATGAGGAATGCTTGACCCAGAAGTTCTTCATGGGATGCAGCACTGTGAATGGACAAATTTATCTTCTTGGACAGAGGAAGGGAAACAGCACCCTCCCCATTGCAGTCCTCTTTGATCCCTACACTGATGTGTGCCAGGTCATAGATAACAAACTCCCTTGCCCCCTTCCTATTCATGGCTGTGTCTCTGTGCGAAGATTTGATACGTGGGCATAAGAGTGGAAGATATGTACTTTACAGCTGAAGGGAGTTAGATTGCATCAACTTTGTCCTGTGACATTTAAAAAATTTTATTCCTTTGTAATTTTACCTTTTTTTTTCTACTTGACAAATGAACTTGAAGCAAAAGCCAGTGCAAACTTTGTCTACACAAAGGCTGAAATGGTGATTGGTATTGTTATGGCATATAAACTCCTTAGGGTTGATGCTTAGTAAAGGGCTGTTCTGACCTTTAACCTCTGTGTCTCTCTGTTCTTTGAACAGCTGGAAAATCACTGCCTCATTGTTAGAAAATATCATAGGATTTAAATAATCAAATGGGTGTCAAGGGAATCTTCAGCAGGATTATAAGCCCATAGTGCTGTAGACAGAGCCAAAAACCCAAACAGCAATTGCTGTCAAGCCATACTTAATATCCAGTACCATTTTAGCCTGAAATAAGCAAGTTTCACAGGTTAATTATGGCTAAAATTATCTTTAGTCAAGGCTGAAGAGCACCACAGAAGGAGGGAGACTGTTCTGGACT